GCTCACCAAAAGCTCCAAGCCGGCTTTTTCCTAGACCGGTCCCTGGAATGTGTCTCCTCCTCCTCGGCACAGTAAATCATTATGCCTATACACTGTGCATAGACGTGAGGGCACTCTGCTGCGAAGAGGACAGGCTAGAGGGAGCACTGTGACAGCTGGCCATCTTGGAACTTTGGGTGAGTATATCTTTGTTATTTTGGTACCTAGACACAAATGAGCACTCAACCCTTACAGTGCGAGGGTGGCCCCAATGCAAGGGTTAATTTTTACATGCCCGCAGTTGTTCTTTAAAGTACAGTTATTCTTTAGGATGCTGTTTATGCCTTTTGTGTCATTTTATTGTATCACCTGTGCCAGAACAATGACAGTTGGAATCTGGTTGCTTTGGGGAGATACCTTAATTTCTTCTTTAACAGTTATGTGAATCAGATACCTTCCCTGTTCTCACTCCTTATGTCTTCACTTCTTGTCTGCTGTTGCAGTGCAGGCTGCAGACAAGACAGCTGAATATACATGGGTAGTGTTTACTTTGGTGAAGGTCTTCGATGAAAACTTTCAAAACACCGAGGAAATGAAATGTGGTGGAACCAGATTATGTTTGTAAAGTGATTTGCATTCTCGTATATAAAAAAAATGAATGTGTTTGAGCATACGGTGATCCTTTAAGATGCTGTTCATGGCAGCTGTGTCCTTTTTTTATTTTTATTGTATCACCTGTGCCAGAACAATTATAGTTAGAATCTGATCGGTTGCTTTTGGGAAATACTTTAATTTCTTCCCTAACAGTTTTTTTTAAACAAACCTTCCCAAGTCTTTGACTTGGTAATTGGATACCAAGTTTGCAAAGTAATTGGTAATTGGATACTAATAAAGTTTGCAAAGCGACTTTTATTACCAGTTGCAGTTGCACTTGTTATCCAGCACTCTCCATCTCCTGCTTCTTCTTACCTAGCTGCAGACACAAAAGAGTTGATGGGATTCTGGGAAGGGTGTACTGGCACTGTCTATTCCCTCACATACACAATAAAGAGACCGTGACATTGACTGTGTGCTATGGATTTGGACACCTCCTATATAAACGCCTCACCTGCTTCATCTGCAAAATGATTCTTCTCACTTCCAGACAGGCAGTTTGCGTAGTAATTGATGTTCATTTTTATGGATTCTCTACATTAACTGTAGAACTAAGTGGCTGTTAAACTCTAAGAGCCATCAATTAGCAGTGACTTCCTTGCTAGGTCTACGTTTCAGATTCCGAGAGTTGGATATTTTTAACCTTTGCATGCCCATATTGTCCAACTTTGCTTTCTTAAAGGGGAAGTGTAGTCTTTATTTTATTTTTTAGACATCCATGTAAAAATCTGAATGTAAGCAATCTTAGTATTGTGTGTTAATGTTGAACTCCGTGGAAGATAAGACATACAATACCCACATTAATGCAGCTCTGTATTAATACATTCTTAAGTGCATATTTTTTTTATTGCAAGCAGTGTAGGTACCTGAATTTTCCTCAGTATCATCCTCTTGCAGTCCCTGTATAGAAGAGCTCAGACTTAGAGAGGGGGGGGGAACTCAAGAGGCCAGTCAGTCATGCTACAGTGTATCAAGCATGCTGCTAAGAGAGCGCATCTCCAGTCACAGGCTGGGGGAGGGACAAGACCTGTAAGTGTTACTGAACTGCAGCAGAGAAAAATCAGGTCTCTTGCCCTGCAATGTAGAGCACTTGCTGAATGTCTGGGGGCACTTAAAGAGATTTATGGAAGGGTGAAGAGCTGCGCTGAGCTGACCTACCTGTTTGAACAAACCTATCAGGAAGAAGGGAAGAAGACTGACCACTTCTAATTGCTTGAGTAGATAAGATCCTCCACCAAATCATCATCGAGGGTGAAATGGAGCCGGACCCCACAAGTAAGGCCTCTTGAAGGGTCACGGCCTCTAGGTCCTATAGTGCTAAATTTTCAAACTGATCAAGACGATCCTAGTGGAAGAGGTTGTGCTAGCAGCCAAGACCCATAAGTGTGGCAAAGGTGACCATCAGCAGGTGGGGGTCCTTGTCACTTTGTTCTGAATGGGCAAAGTGACAGATTCTCTTTAAAGAAGAACTCCCTTTTTCTCCTCAATCCCGACTGGCTATGTAAAAGTATTTCCTGCCCTGCCCTATGTAATGGTACAGAATGGTCCCACCAGACCTACCGGGATTCTCATCCCACTGTTTTTACATTGTTTGATATTATTGATGTACATCATTATACCAGAGAAGTGGAGCCACAATAATATGGGGAAGGTGAACCTGCAGATGAGGCTTAGATCATCGTCTCCTGGAACCAGTGGGCACAGCGGTGTTAAAACATAAATATTTATTTAGGTTTTTTTTTGCCTTCCTGGTTGAATTAATATTATCATACAGCAGGTGAGAGTTGGTAGCCAAATTAAGCTTAAGATGATCACCTGGCTCTTCCATCAATTTTACTGTACATTCTCCATTGACTGTGGATCTTCAGTTGACATTAAAGGATTACCCAGAGCAATGCAGTGTGACTCCGCAAGTGCTTCATGTAGTCCATTAAGCATGGCAAAAATGCTAAACACTCACACGTTTCTTTAGATGCTGTTTGGTTTTGAAGACCAAAATAAGGTTTAACAGAGTAGAGTTTAAGAGTACATACCTGACTGGTGCCATTAATAGCTTTTATTGCAGCTACTATTTCTGACCATTGACCGTTGTTGTGTAAATATTGTAAAGCCCAGGCCAGATACTAATTGGTCTAGCTCTGTGGCCATTTAAAAATTTTGGTAACTACTTTTTGATGTAAGCACTTAGAATTGTTTCATGTGTGCTCTGTTTACTGCGCTGTGTTAGTGCTTCAGTGGGTACTGTTTGTGGGCGATCTAATTCTTCGGTTACTGGCACATTAAGTCCTTGCTCTTCTGTAACCAACTTCAAAGGGTCAGTGTCACTTTCTTTTTTGTCTTGTGATCAAGCATTCATGAGGTATTAATAAAATGTCATATCCCAGCTTTCAGCACACAATTCTTAACTTAGGAAAGGGTAAGAGCTTTCAATGCTTCATTAGTGATATTGTGCTGTTAGACAGGCAGTCCCTGAGTTACGAACATCCGAGTTACTTACTTACTTACAAATGGAGGTCCCATGCTGTTCCACTAGTTGCAATGCTACCGTGCTCGTGCCGACGTTCGTGGTACTGTACCTCCTGCACATTACAGGAAGTTGTTGGACATGCAGACGAGGAATGAGTCTGGTTCGTAGTACTGTACCTCCTGTACATTACAGGAAGTTGTTGGACATGCAGACGAGGAATGAGTCTGGTTCGTAGTACTGTACCTCCTGTACATTACAGGAAGTTGTTGGATGTGTAGACGAGGAGTGGGTCTGGTTGATAGTAGTGTACCTTCTGTACATTAAAGGAAGTTGTTAGACGTGCAGATGAGAAGTGCCTGCCTCTTCTTCCGGGTCTGGTACTGTACATTACAGGAAGTTGTTGGATGTGTAGACGAGGAGTGGGTCTGGTTGATAGTAGTGTACCTTCTGTACATTAAAGGAAGTTGTTAGACGTGCAGATGAGAAGTGCCTGCCTCTTCTTCCGGGTCTGGTACTGTACATTACAGGAAATTGTACAAACATCGGTCCAAGCTGCATTTAAAGTAGAACTCCATGCAATTTTTTTTTTTTTTATCCAAAACTAAAAAAAAAAAAATTGGCTGGAGTTACACTTAAAAAATGTGCCTGTTTCAACTTGCATACAAATTTAACTTAAGAACAAACCTACAGACCCTATCTTGTTCGCAACCCGGGGACTGACTGTACTTATTAAAGGGTTAGAGCTAAGTGAATTTTTCTTTAAGAGGATTTAAATTTCAAATGTGAGTACTAGACTATTGTACTGTGCTAGGCATTGATTAGTTCGAAAAGTTTGAAGTTGATTAGCTAACTTAAGTTATTAGAAATGCAAGCTGTTGTGATTGTTCAGATCCCCTTTTCATTAATACAATTACTGCATTAGGAGTTCCTGCATTCCTACTGAAAAACACTATTAAAAGATTTAAATTCATATTGTACGACATAAAAAAAAATATTCTAGTATTTTAGATAAAAACACAACTTGGATCAAATTTTTATCATGTATGTGTTACACAGAAAAAAAACTTCAGATAATGTTGGACAAACTTTCATGATGGTTCTTATAAGAGTAGGTATTTTATGGTTTTTTTTCCCTTGCCCAGAAACTGCAAAAAGGTTCCACTGTCAAAGTGCCAGCAAATCAATGAATATTACCAATCATGTTACGCATTAGAAGCTTTTAGCCTTTTAATGAGGATAGGTGTCGATCTTTTACAATTACCATTCGTAGATTGCCACATTGCTGCAAGAAAACCTTAAATTCCATTACATCTCAGTGACTTCCCACTGTGGAGGGTAGGTCAGCTCCCCAGAATGGTGAGGAACAATATCCTCTGCAGTGGGATTTGGCGCCTGAGCCCTTTAACAATAGCTAAAAGCAAGGAACGATTGGGTAAATTTATATGGTAGCGTTATAAGGACACCTTTTTGATATTTCACCGGTAAATGAGAAAAAAAATGCAATTAAGAGCCTTAAAAAAAAAAAAAAATTAAATGAGAGAAGAGGATAAGGGAACGGCTAAATAATTAGGTTACTGCCGGGAAAAAACCAAAAGGAACTCTCAGGAATAAAGTTAATTCTATAACCCTTACTTTTATAAATCAAACTCTGTACAAGGAGAAAGAAAATGCTCATTACTTTTAAGAGACCCCAAAAATGCAACATTCAGTTGAAGGCAAAGTGAATGTTCCTTAAAAGCATTTTGCTGGCTGTTAATGGAAGGTGTGATATTACAGATGGCATAATAAACCTATAGTGAATCATTGCAGTCTGCAAGACTAAGTAAAATGCTCACTGATTACCAAATATTAAGTGTACTTTTGTCTAATATTTTTTTCTTTACTCTTTTTTTTGCATTAGGTTTCCGGGACTGGGTTCCGAAAGAGTTGCAAAGGGTTGGGTGTGTAGAACTTCTTAACACAGTGCAGAGGAGGGTCAGGCCCAAGTTGCATGTCTTTGGTGGAATCCATGAAGGTGAGTAGTAAAAAAAATCAGTATAATTGTGGGAACATATTTATAGAAAATGAGTTGTGACTTTCTGAAGGTATTGGCTTGCTTAGAATCTTATGGTAAATCTCAAGAGCCATATAACTGATGTGGCCGAGATTTACAGCTGGTGCCTGACTTTGTGAACCTTTTCTGTTGTTACTTATATTCGTTATATAGTACCAAAATATTCTACAGAAATACTTGTATCATTCATATCAGTCCAAGCTTCTGAGGGAACTTATAGTAGTATTAAACCCTCCCAGTAAACCCTTTCCTATTGTACTCTAATAACTGTGTTTACTGATTGCATTCATTTATAACTATTCCTTTTGTTAGGTTTCTTTTGCCTTATAATAATGTCCCCTGCTCTGTCCACCTTGTGCAGCACTTACCCCAACTTCCGGTCCAGGCAGCACACACACTATCACTCCCCGATGTTGAAACCGAGGAACTGAAATGCCCATCATTACTTGCGCTTGCCCATTAAAATAAGCATGCCTGTTGAAGTTTTCTTCTATTTTTTTACTGCATTGTTTTTGTTTAAACTTTATTGCCCTTATATGTCAGTCAAAGTCCAGTGGGCAGAGAGGTGCGTGGTGAACACATTCTCTTCTGCAGCCTCCTTACTGCGCAGCCTATGACTTTATGCACATAGTATCATGAGGTACATGTGTAGTCTCATGGGGGGAAGAAACAGCACATTGTGGTGGCTCCATAGGCACCCCACCGTTGCAAGGAGTCTCGACAAAAATGGAGGTTTGGCAAATAAATTAATCAGATCAATCCTGGCATTAGGGGTTGACAATGGAAGTAATATAAGGGCCAGTTCACACAAAAATCATACCAAAAATGTTAGTCAAGTGAGGTTCGTTGACTTGCAGTTTCCTCTCCAGCAAACAGCACAGTAGTGACGACATCAAATCTGAATCCAGATTTTGTAAGATCAGCAGTCACATACAGCTGTGCCTCTTAAACTATATATAAATATGAACTCTCTCTCTCTCTATATATATATCTATATATATCTATAGATATATATAGATATATATATCTATGGATATCTATAGATATATATATACACTGAGTGGCCAGATTATTATGACCACCCCATAAGTACTTCGTTGGGCCACGAGATGACTCCACGAGATGACTATTTGAGCCGCCTCGTGATGTTGAAAGGTGATGCGAGGAATCTGACACTGCACTGTTGCCCTTATGTTGTCTTGTACCAGTCTTGCCACTCTCCGTTCTGCCCTAACATTGACTAGTCGCTGACAGCCACAATTCGCACACATTCAGACCCAGATTTTCGGCCGACAGTCCAGTCTTTAAACACTTTAACAACAGCTGCTCTTGAACATTTAACGAATTCTGCTGTTTTGCTGATACTCGCTCCATGACTCCGTGCCCCAACTATCATCCCACATTCAAAGGCTGTTAAATCGCGTTGTTTACCAATATCTTCAGAAAAAAATCACTTCTACTGTCGTGGTAAACAACCTGCTTCCCTATTCCTAATGGTCTGGCCCTCTAGCAACTTCAGCGCGAAATTATAGCTAATTATAGCTAATTTGCCTACAAACGTCAGGTGGTCATAATAATCTGGCCACTCAGTGTATATACACACACAGCTTTGAGGCTGTAGGCACAGCAGTGCCCAGGCACACTAACATACAAATAAGTGCACTGCCATTTTTGGAGGTACAATTAACATTTTGTTGATCTTCAATAATAACATAGCATACCTTCTGTTTTTTCTTTTCCTCTTTCAGAACGAAAGCTGAACTGCAATTAACAAAGTTTTTATGTTTGTGCATATTTACATCACATTATTTTAGTATATTTGCAGGTAGTAAATAATAACTTATTCTTATACCCAATCTTACTTTTGATTTAATTAACATTTACTTTGCACTAACCTTGATTAGGGAACTGCAGATTGTGCAAACGAAGTACAAACAGTTTGGTATTCAGTGCTTGGGACAGCCCAGCTATGGGAAGGTAAATTGCTAGAGTTAATGGTTATTTCTGAGCTTCTTAAGACTTCCTGTTGTGTTTATAAAGGCCTAAGAACCAAGCAGCTTACGTTGTCCAAAGAGGATTATAGTTTGCTGCATTTCCATGCTGGAGCTTATAGTAAACAGTCTTAGAATGTGTGTGCTTGTTGTTGTACAATATTTGTATATATTATAAGACCTATAACTTTTTTTTTTTTCTTCTGAAGGATACGGAATTATGACTGATGGCTACACCACATACATCAATTCTTCAACGTGTACAGTCAGCTTTCAACCAACCAATCCTCCAATTATTTTTGACCTTCCTAATCCCCAAGGATCATGAAGACCCTGGACACATCTATATCCATGGGTCTATAAACTGCCTTTTCTGTTTTAATAATAACTGTCTTGCTCTTTTTATCTATTTCCAAGTTTTGGATTTGCATTCTTTTGCTCAAACTGGTACAAGGAAAACAAACCATACCTTTAAAAAGGAAAAAAAAAAAAGTTCATGCTTTTAAAAACATCTTTTAATTTATCGGTTACTCTTGTGTCCTAAGAAAGCTATTGTAAAATGTACATATCCCAGGAGGGTCAGTTCATAACATTAATATAAAATTTAAAAAATGGTGACTAAAAAAAAAATTAAGCTATTCATTTTGTAAACCACCGGGATTTGCACAACTTAATGTTATTTGAATTGTGTCTGTATTTTTTTTTAAACCATTATCGAATTGTGTGCTTTTTTCAATCACCTCAAAGTCTTTCCAGTGCTTTTATGTCCATTTTAGTTTCATTTTTTTTTTAAATCTGATGACTTTTTTTTCTTTCTTTTGTACGCATATTCAGTCCATGACCTGTTGTTGTCTTCATTTGCTGTTTTTTATTTGTATTTTTTTTGCCTGTATTTTTTATTAAATTATTTTTATTATGTATGGGGATAAAACACCTGTAAAGACCAGGTATGCCGTACATTAAAACATGTAAATGCAGACTCCTTTTAAATATGGATTTATATACATATATATATATAAGTATTTTTTGTGTGTTATAACAAAATGTGGGATTTATTATTGGCTGTATAGGCAAATGCAAAAATTAAAAATGCTGCACGCAGCACACCTGAATTATGAAGGATGTGTTCTATTTGCAAGTATCCTTACCTGCTGAGAAGCAGCGGTATTTGTGTGCGGTCGTAGGCATGTGAGGAATGAAATGAATACAATCAAGACAAGAAGGGCTGTGTTGCTCTTTTTTAAGCATTCTTGAATCCCTTTTCCCCTCTCCCATGTCCAGTTTTTTTAATTATTTTGCACTGTGTGTAAATGCAATCTTGCTAGCACAAAAATACTGTTGCAAATAGCTCTTTTTTTTCTTCCACCTTTGTACATGCTTTTTTCCAAGGCTTGTCCTGTTTTTGTTTTCATTTTTTTGCTACCTTGTTAATGGACTTTAGAAATCCAGTTGTTTCTTTTAAATTCATTGTGATATTATATATCTAGCGCCTTTATATGCAAAATAAAATTGCAAGATTTTTCAATATGATGCACGAGTTTGTATTCTGTTCCTTAAAGGAGAACTTCAACCAAAAATAACAAGATAAAAGTTAGCCCTTTAAAATATAAAATAGTAGGGTTGCACCAATATATCGGCCGCCGAAACATATCGACTGAAAATGGCACTTTTGGCTAAATGCCGAAAGTGCAATTTTTCTGCCGATACAGCGGTGCATCCCTGCTTTCTTTCCTTGCGCTGGGCGCTGCTTTGTGTCCCAGTGGGGAGGAGAGAAAGTGTCACAGTCGGCCGAGCGCTGTGAGCGGCCAACGTCCTTCCTCCCACACTGCTTAGCCTCCTGACACAGATCAGAGGAGAGCAGTGTGTGGGCAGAGACATTCAGCGCTGTCACAGGAGGCTGAGCTCTCCTCCTGCACGGCCCCGCCCAGCCTCCTGTGGCAGCTTTCAGGAAGGAGAGCGGTACAAACACTCAGTGATCGCTGATTGTTTATAAATAATTGAGGACATAGCATGTTTACTGTATCCTCAATTATGAATGAATGGGAGTGTTCATCACCTCCTGTTCATTCATGATTGTGGTTATAGTAAACACACTCTGTCCTCATGTTATGAATGAACAGGAACACTCAGTATAGAGGATTACCTGCTCATTTATAACGGGCTGCAGAAAAAGAGATTGGGGACTCTGTGAACTCAATCTCTTTTTATATTTTCAAAGGGAAATATCAGGGGTCTATTTAGACCCCCAATATTTCCCCAAAGCCCATAAAAGTAAAGTAAAAAAATAAAAATATTTAATAAAAAATGAATAAATAAAAATAAAATATTTAAAAAAAATTCAATAAAAAACATTTCTGGTTTCAGCCTGACTTTTTTTTTTCGGTTTTGAAATTTCCATTTCGGTGCACCTGTGTAAAATAGCAAAACCAGCTTTTGCTGCAATTTTCAGCTTCTATCCTAAGTTTTCCCCCACTGTCTTTTTCTGCCACTAGATGCCCTTACTATAATGGTAAGCATTATTCAACCCACTTTCTCTGCGCCCGGGTAACCACGGATCCACACTAGCCTGTGACTGGATTGGGAAAGAAGAAGCACAGTGCTGAGTTCATCTCTCTGTCACTCCTACTTTTTGATCCTATCAGCATGCTTCTTGTCAGCCATGAACTTATTGGCTTGTACTGCTTCTCCCTCTCCCACTCCAGCACTGCTGACTGGAAAAGGCAGATACCAAGTCTGATTCAGGTAGTTATAGTGAAAAGACATTGAACAAAGTAATAATGATTACCGAGCTACATTAATTTGTGTATGTTATATCTGCTAGAGTTCAGCTTTAAAGAAGACCTATGAGGTGAGTGATTTCCACTCATCCTCATAGTTAGAGCCGACCTGTGACAAAGAAGCTGTCACAGGTCGGCTCTATTAATTGGGAAGTGAGCAGAAACATGCACCGATCTGCTCACTTCTCTATCGTCTCCCTGCAGTGAGCAGTTACTGTCATTTACGCTCCCTGCAGGGATTCCCCCCTCCCCGCTCCGATCCTCCAGCGCTGAGTGGAGGAATGAACAAGGGAGGGGGCGGGCAGAGTTGGATCTGCCTCTAAATAGGCAGAGTCAGCTTTCACTCACGTAGCAGGGTGGATCCCGACAGTATTGATGGGATCTGTCATGCCTGCAACGCTCTCAATATATCGCAGACAATAGCCCGCTATATACTGAGCTTTAGGTCACGGGAGGAGGTTAGTATATGTCCTCCCGTGACCCCAAAGAGAACTATGGGGAAAAACATTTACCCCATAGTTGTCTTTTAAGTTCCTAAAGTCACCCAGAAGTGACACAGAAGCTGCTATGTAACAGTAGGCCCCCTTTTGATGCTTATCAGACAGGATTACTGTCCTATACAGCATAGAAGGGTGTTTTGTATGGAGATGTCAACCATCTTCTGGGAGTCTGGAGGGCTGTAAACCACTGTAGGTCATCAAAATTGCAGACCAAAGCATTGCTCCTGTGGTCACGAATATGACAGCTTACCTGGTATGCAGCCACTTGCAGCTTTACAAATTTTCTATGTAATATCAAGTGGGCTACAATGGGTCGGTCCACTCTAAAGTGATATTCAGTTATGCTTTGATGCTGGTAAGATTAATTGCAATCTTTTATCTTTCAGAGCTTCTGTAGATGGAAATATGCAATGTGCTTTCAGATGCACTCAGCTTGCATTTGAGAAGCTTCTGGGATCATTTAGAGTTCTTTCAATGCAGCTACTTCTGACCTGTATTTTGCCTCTTTTTAACCTGAATTGGACCTCGTCCTTGAGTTGCATCGAGTTGCTTTTGTATTCCTATTAACTTGTATGGGGAGAAAAGTAGTTTTGGTGCAAACAAAAGCACACGTACATAGGACCTCAGGGACTCCAGTTGAGAGATCCTGCCACCACAGTATTTTCCTTTGCCTACTCACTTTAAGCAGCCATGGAGGTCTATAGTTTTGTGCTTTGGCTGACTTAGTCCTTAAGAATCAAGTAAGAGCTTAGAAAATACTGAGGCCATGGGATCAGAAGACAGCAAAGCCATTTTTATTTTCAGAAAGAGATGTTATAACCATTTCCATCCTTCCTCACTACAGATTTCCCTAAACTATTATAGCTGCAGGGATAAGAAGCTGGTAAGTATACTGCAAGGACTGTAGCAGCCAGTTGGTCCTGTGAAGCAGAGGGTTTCCACACACATCCCATGATGCCCTTCAGGACCTAGCGAGTTTCAACCCCTAAAAATAAAAGTGGGAATTAAAGCTGAACTCCAGGTAAACAGCTAAATAAACCATTGAAATTCATATACAAGAGCTTTTTTACCTCCCAAAAGATTTACATTTCTGTCAATCCAGTACTGACATGAAAAGCCTTGGTAGACGGCACAGCTAGAATGGTAACCTGGCTTTTCTCTTTAAGAAAAATGGGTTGGTCACCTATCTGCCTCCAGCCTGTTATTGGAGAGTGAAGCACATTCATGAAGTCACCTTTCTCCTAAATTGAGTAAGTGCATGCAACACGTTAGTGCTACCCCACCTCTCCCAATCAGTGTTGCTGTACAGGGGTTTACAGGAGACTGATAGTCAAATTCAGGTACTTAAGTTGGAATTAAAAATACAATTATTTTTTAAGGCATGCATAATTTACCTAGTTTGTATTTTTACATCTGCCTGGAGTCCAGGATTAGGTCACTCCCCCATTTTGACCATTCCCCCTTGGGAATTGTTGGAAGGTATGCCCTTGTGGACACCATTTGTCTCAAGTCGGCTCAAAACAAACACAATGCTTCTCTACTATTTTGTAGAAATGACAAGCTATAAAACTATCTTTGCTGGAGAAAGAATGTCCGTGGCACTTCCATGTTCATTATCGTTATTTTAATGTTTCTCTTATTGAGTATAAAGAGGCCTTCATTAGCCAGCCCTTACAGCAAACAAAGAATTCACTAAATGGCATTTAAGCAAAAAACGCATATGATGAATATGGTCCTTTTAACCGAGACGCTCAGGCACAGAAGCAGCCAAATGACTTCATTAGTTTAATGGTACAATCTGATGGCTTCCACTTGTGTTTGAAGGTGGACGTCATTCCTGTTATGGGCTGCCTTTATCAGCTCAGGGGCAGTGGAGTAATAAGCTATGAGGCATGTTATGACTACATAAAGGGCAGGGACGTGGAATGAGCTGATATCGCAGAATGGCTAAAAAGAAAACCCAGCTAACAAGTGTACAATCAGCAGTATCCTGGGTAAATATGTGTATTAGTGTGGCACTTAGTTAAAAGAAAAATTCCAGTTCATAAAAAATTGATATATACTTAGTATTGCTACACAAGCCATATTGTAACTGAATGTCTTTAACTATTCATGGGCCATATATAACTCTATATATAGATATATGGATTGTCATTGCTGAGCTGTTCCTAAAAATGCTAGTTTCCTGAATTGTCTCTGGCCTCATTACTTTAAGTCACTGACTGGAACAAGCTAGGGGAATTCTTCCAATGTTGACACCAGTTCCGGGCACAACTAAGAGGGGAATTACCGTCACTTTGGTAGATTCCACTAATTTGGGACCGGAAGTGAATGGAAATATTCCCAGATGGTACACAGACAGCAAAGAAATAACCTGAAAAGGGTTTTAAGTTTAACAGTTCCCTACTATATCCAAAACCTAAAGTGACATTAAAGTCACATTCCCCCCTCCCTTCTCCAATGCTGCTTTAATGACTTACCTTAAATGATGCCTCTTGATCTGATCATCTTCTTCTTTCCAGTAGTTTTCAGGAGTCCCTTCAGCGCTGGTGCCGGTCTCTGATCCA